GATCTGTAGAGTAAACTCAGCGAGTAAAGGATGGAGTATTATGAGCCTGTTCCGTTGTCAGTATGCTCTGACGCTGATTTGCATAGTGTTCCACTGTTATATTACAATTAACTGGGGAAGTAAACGGTCACCAGGACCTAAAATCTGAATGTTTCCAGTCATGTTTCCAGTCATCAGTCATATTTAGCTTAAATGAGTAAAAAGTGTTATGATATTTCCTTAAATCCTTAAATTACGTTTTGGGAAAAAAAAAAGCCCAAAAGATTTCTTCTCCCTTAAAATAATTATACTAATATCACCGGCTCTGGTACTGTAGAAATTTCTGACTGGTTTCGATTCATGATATTTTAGGTATAGCACTCAAAATATCATGTTCCTTGTTCCTTTTGTATGCTTTCTTTGTGTTATGGTTACTATCTGACCACCTCTGTATTTGTATTTTGAGTTAAAGATGATTAAGAGTGATAGATGGTCTCAGGACACAGTCAACCGCAGATAGACTGACAGACGTTGTTGTCAGTCCAGATTGGAGGGCATACATTTTAAGAGTTCAGTGTGTGGAAATCCTGCCAGCTTAACCTGGAAAAGTGAAGTGATGCCATTGACTAAAGAAGATATATATTTTTCCCAGTTATTTTCTCTTAAATTCATTTCGTTTTGTTTTGTTTTTATTGACAAATTGGCTGTTTATCATTTTTTGGAAATTTACAACTTTAACATTGCCAATTTTATTTCTCAGAACATTAACTCGCCTCTCACCCATTATTATTTTTCCTCAGTGTCACTAATATGTGATTGTTCTAAACAATAATAAAGTGAGGACATTTTTTTTAAAAGCATAAAAACAAATAAAAAATACTTTCTCCTTATCAGTGCCTGTGTCTCTCTAACCAGTCAGAGAGCTCCAGACTGCGTTCCTTACTTACGTTGCTTTTTCACCAGAGACCAAAAGAGTTATGGAAATGCTAATTGAAGAGGCTAATCAAGTAGTTAATGTAATAGTTAATTAAGCAGCTAGTAAGAAATGGAAATTGAAATTGAGGAGCAGAGTCATTATTTAAATGTCAGAAAAAACACATTTGTATTCCTAATTTGCTTTTTTTAAATCCATTTACTTTATTTGAAAGTCATTTTTTACATTTGTTTTGAATTCAAAAATGTTTTTAGTGAGATTTTTATTGAAAATTATTTTTTTCCGTTTAAAGCGTTCATCAATGGATTGATAATTAATTCAGAAATACTAATTTATAATTCCTCCTTCTATTTTATTCTATTAAGTTAACAATATCATGAACTTTATTAATGTCTAATTACATAATAGAAGTTCACGTTTTTTTTTTTTTAAAGATTTGCTAATTCATGTTTGATTGTACAATTAATTATTAAATCACAAAATGCTTTGTTTTGATGTCTGTGACACTTGTGGTTCTCCATAGCTGCTGCTGTGTTGGTGGATTATCAGTATCTGCTGTTATTGATCCAGTTGATTGGTATTGGCCTGATTAAGTTTGTCAGTTGTGGATATTTAGCTTTTTTTCTTTTCTTTTTGATTTAGTTTGAAAAGAATGAGTAATACAATACATTAGGTTAAATAAAGTGCACCTGGGTTCCAGCAGGTTCTTACAAAGTTGTCAAACATTTAACAATGAAATCAAGAATATGGAGGTCATAAAATGTGTTTTATTATATAGAGATTTTCTTTAGGTGTTACATTTTCAGATGTTGGCCACTGTAGGCTAAGCAGCCTGATGGTAGCCCTATACAGTAAATGGTGAAAACTACAAATCAAATTCAAATTAAATTCTTAAAAACATAACTTAGAATTGAGTAATGGGGCATAAATTGTGTTGTAGAGCTAATTTTAATGATTATTTGTTTGCATATTTTTGTTGGACTTTTTAAAATACTTTTGCCTGTTTTCAAATTTCCAGATCTCATCAACAAACATAAAAGTACCCATGGCGATACACCATTTACAGGAACTGAGCAGAGCCACACACAATCTTCAGTGCCAGCCAGGGGCCGAGGTCAAAGTGCATCTATGATCTACCCTCCCAGCTCCAGAGGAAGACTCTATGCTCCTCAGAGCTGTGGAAGTTGGAGGAAAACGTACTCTCTGAGAAACAAGAACCCTGAATCCTCTGCTGGACATCCCTCAGCTTCTGCCTCCTCCACTGTCCATCACTCTCATAGCATGTCACTGCCCAGCCTCAGCACGGGAAGCAGGACTGCCACTTTATCATCAGGGATATCTCAGCTGAAGAAAAAAGAACATATAAGCAGCACAACGGAGAGTAGAGTTGTAGCAACAGAGAGAAAAAACAGTGATGCTCTTGGAAAAATGGGGTCAGCAGCAGAGTTTACGCAGAGGGTTGACAGCAGGAACACAGGCCTGCAGGGAAAGAAAATTGGTGTTTCTTTTGAAGTGGCCTCTTCAGCCACAGCCAGTACCTCAGCCATTCAGCAGAGCAGCTCCCAAGTAAAGATTGGACCTTCACTGAAAAGCAGAACCAGTACAGACACTCAACAGATTGTTGCTAAAACATCTCAGGTAACTTTCACTGCTGGTCTCTCTACTGCATTACAACAAGCTTCCTCTAACTCATCTTTACAAAGCAGCAAAGCCCAGGTCAATACTTCATATTCAAATAAATCAAAGTTCACTTGGGTAAAGGGTCAGAGTGCTGCAGGAGCAGAGCTCAAACCACTGAGCTCTGTTTCAACACCGTCAGCAGTTGTTGCCCCAACATCTGTCTTGAAATCTGGAGTTGCCATTGAAAGCCCCCCTTCATTTGTAGTTGCTAAGAGAACCGCTGCTAAGAAGTTACCTCGAAAGCTTAGCCAGCCCACTGTAGCTGCCAAGACCTCAAAGTACCGCTGGGTGTCCTCTGCAGGAGCCCAAGCTAAGACATCTCGTAAGCCCCCATCTCCCAAACCCTTGACTCTCACACAGAGAAGTCTGGACAAAGGAGAGGCCACAAGGAAACTTAAACCAGGTTCTTCTCCTTCTGTAAAATTGAAAAAAGGTATTGCAGTGTCCTCTGCTGGCACCTCACAGAGTAGCCGCTATCGCTGGAAAGCAGGGGGCCAGAGTACATCTGTGGCAGGGACAGCAGGAGCAACAGCAAACCGCCGTAGATCTGCTTTCCACTGGACAGCTGAGAAAAGTAACAAAGGATTGAAAGGAGGGATTTCTGTGCCCCTAAGTTTACCTCAGCGCACCTCCATGTTGTCATCCTCCTCGCCTGGAGGGTTCAAGCTCCGCAGCAGGATGAAGATTATTAGAAGGTCTACTATCAGGTGAATAATGCACATGACATGATGGCTCTTGTTAAGGCTTTTTACTGCCCTACCCCCTAATATATACTG